ACTTTGCACAAGTGTTCTTAATCAATGTAGAAGGCACCTCCTTCACTCTCTCTTCCTCCTCCTCTGAAGCAAGTTCCTCAGGTGCAGTCTGTTGCTGTTTGAGTTGAAGCTCTTGCAGCTCTTCAGTGGTTAGCTCTTCCCTGTGGTCCTCCACCAACTCTTCCACATCCTCACCACTCACCTCCAACCCCAGGGACTTCCCCAGTGCCCCAATAGAGTCCACAGGGTCGGCAGGGTCAGCCTTAAACCCTTCAAAATCCTTCTCTTGGACACAATCTGGCCACAGTTTTCTCCAAGCAGAGTTCAAAGTCCTGGAAGTCACTCCATCCCAAGCCTTACCTATAATGCTTATGCAATGGAGGATAGTGAAGTGATTCCTCCAGAACTCTCTTAGGGTCACCTGAGTGTCCAAGGTCACTTAAGCACTTTTGAAACACTGCTTTGGTGTAGAGTTTTTTGAAGTTAGAAATGACCTGCTGGTCCATGTGCTGGAGGAGAGGAGTGGTGTTCGGAGGCAAGAACTTCACTGTGATGAAACTGAAGTTCCTAAACACTTGGTCTTGCAAGTCTGGAGGATGTGCAGAAGCATTGTCCAGTACCAGGAGGCACTTGAGTGGCAATTTCTTTTCCAGGAGGTATTTTTTCACACTTGGGCCAAACACATCATTAACCCACTCTTTGAAAATATGCCTTGTGACCCATGCCTTATGATTAGCTTTTCACATCTCACACAATCTATTCTTCATGACATTGTTTTTCTTGAACACACTGGGATTTTCTGAGTGATATATGAGTAAAGGCTTCACTTTGAAATCCCCACTAGCATTACCACACAACAAAACAGTAAGCCTGTCTTTCGTAGGCTTGTGTCCTGGTAGTGCCTTTTCCTCCTGGGTAATGTAGGTCTGTTTTTGGTATTTGCTTCCAAAACAGGCCTGTTTCACCACAATTGAACACTTGTTGGGGTTCGAATCCTTCAGCCTTTGCATAGTCCTGGAATTCGTGAACATACTTTTCAGCCGCACATTTATCAGAACTTACAGCTTCACCATGCCTTACAACGCTGTGTATGCCACTACGCTTCTTAAATCTATCAAACCATCCTTTGCTGCCCCTAAATTCACAAACTGCATCACTTGTTCCAGGGATTTTCTTTGCAAGATCCTCATGCAACTGCCCTCCCTTCTAACACATGATCAACTCCACAACACTGTCTCCCACTAATTCTTTTTCCTTAATCCACAATAATAATAACTTTTCCACCTCTTCCATTACTGGTGGCCTTTGTTTGGTTAGAAAAGTTACTCCTTTTGCAACATTAGCATCCTTGATTTGTTCTTTCTTTGCCAGAATGGATTTAATTGTTGATTTATTCTTGTTCCAGCACCCTCATACCACTCTCAAACTTTTCAATCACTTCATGCTTAAATTCCATGGTGTTTCTCACTTTCTTCACCACATGAACTTTCTTTGGAGCCATGGTTACGTATTTCACAGTTGCACTGCAAAAATAACACAAATTACAATGGGATATAAACAAAATGTTTGTATGTATAAGCAGAAGCTTCCTCAGGCACCAAGAGACACAGCCAAACTGATGCGCAAGCGGCCCCAGCCGGCGAACGGACGCATCCCAAATGGCTGATCACCGAATTAATGGCCGATAACCGAATTAACGGTCGATAACCGGTCACCGAAAAATCGACTGATCACCGAGTTGGCCGATAACAGAAGCGGCCAATAACCGGGGTCCACTGTAATTAATTTGACCCCTTAACTCCAAGAAAAGCAGCAAAATATAGAGGAGGGCCCCACTTATACAGCAGGTTAGCTTCCAGGCTACTGCTGTGAAGCAAAAATTGCTGTAAAGTGAAACATGGCCTTTTTTTCACTTTCAAGTGCATATAAAAGCCTGATAACATGTTTACACTATCATATATTAAGTGAGCAGTAGAACTAGGCCTAAAAAATACATGTACAGTACACACATTACTTCTTTTTTTTTTTTTCAACAAACCGGCCGTATCCCACCAAGGCAGGGTGGCCCAAAAAAAAAAAATTCTCTTTTTAAATTTAGTAATTTATACAGGAGAAGGGGTTACTAGCCCCTTGCTCCTGGCATTTTAGTCGCCTCTTACAACACGCATGGCTTACGGAGGAAGAATTCTGTTCCACTTCCCCATGGAGATAAGAGGAAATAAACAAGAACAAGAACTAGTAAGAAAATAGAAGAAAACCCAGAGGGGTGTGTATATATTTATGCTTGTACATGTATGTGTAGTGTGACCTAAGTGTAAGTAGAAGTAGCAAGATGTACCTGAAACCTTGCATGTTTCTTTCTTTCTTTCAACACACCGGCCGTATCCCACCGAGGTGGGGTGGCCCAAAAGGAAAAACGAAAGTTTCTCCTTTTACATTTAGTAATATATACAGGAGAAGAGGTTACTAGCCCCTTGCTCCCGACATTTTAGTTGCCTCTTACAACACGCATGGCTTACGGAGGAAGAATTCTGTTCCACTTCCCCATGGAGGTAAGAGAAAATAAACAACAAGAACAAGAACTAGTAAGAAAATATTAGAAAACCCAGAGGGGTGTGTATATATATGCTTGTACATGTATGTGTAGTGTGACCTAAGTGTAAGTAGAAGTAGCAAGACATACCTGAAATCTTGAATGTTTATGAGACAGGAAAATGGACACCAGCAATCCTACCATCATGTAAAACAATTACAGGCTTCCGTTTTACACTCACTTGGCAGGACGGTAGTACCTCCCTGGGCAGTTGCTGTCTACCGACCTACTACCTAGGTGTGTGTAAATTATTAGATAAATTAGGCAAGTTATTGCACGTAATTTTCTCTCGTCCTGTTATCGTTTCCTTTGGCCTGATATGTTAGGTTGCTATGTTAGTTTTGATTATCATAAAATACTAGATTGGCATTTCAAAAATTTCCATTACTGTAATTCACTGTGTACCTAAAGTACAGTGTAGGCAATCTTTCTGTGTTACAGCAAAACTTTTTTTTTCTGTTTATTATTGGGACAGTATTTTTTTATCATTCACATTTATTTGTAACCTGTTGACCCCCATTTAATTTAATAGCAAGGAGACTATAGTTCATTGTTCTCCCAAAATGGGTAATAAATTTAATTTGATAGGACTGATATTTCTCAAGGGAAGAGTCTTGATCCTGGTGAAGATCTCTTGATCTGATGACTTGGAACTACCCTCTCCTTCCTTAGATTAAATTTAATTACTTCTTTTTTTCCAGGTGTTGAATAACCCTTATGGCTTGAGCACTTCCCATTGAATGTAATATTATAGTGGATCCCCAACTTAATCACCTAGACAGGGAAGAGAGGAATGGTTGGTCAAGCAAAAAAAAAAAAAATGTTTAGCAAATTGGATTTTCCCATAAAAGTCCTTGTTGTAACTTGAGATGGGGACCGTGATGATAATATTCAGTATTTGATTCCTGTTAATTCTTTCCATGACAAAATTGACAAAATATGTTCTCAACAGGAATGAAGTATTTGTTTAGTAGAGGGACAGGGATGTTATACTTTGCTTTTAAAAGTTCATGAAAAAAAACAGAATAAAAAAATAATTAAAATATCAATTGAAGTATCACATTGTGATACTTCAATTTATATTTGATGCTTTCTCTCTACATTTTACCAAATTTTCATGCTTTTTTGTGTTGTGCACTCATAAAATGGGGGAATATAATACCATTATGCATCTACTAATCAATAGAACAATCACTGGTGAAGGGAGGGAGAAGTGGTGGGAGGTACAGAGTGTAATAATATGACATTACTCCCCTCACAGACATAACCAGACTTCCCCCCCCCCCTTTCTCTCTCTCTCTCGGGGATGATAAATAATTTGTGTTTGCAATTTTTGAACTGTACTGTTGGCATGCTGCTGGCAAGACAATGATGGAGTGAGTGATGATGAAAGTGTTTCTTCTTTTTCAGGTCACCCTGCCTCGGTGGGAAATGACCGATGTGTTAAAAAAATAAACATGAAGGGATTTAGGGAAACCGGTTAACTGGACTTGAGTCATGGAGGTGGGAAGTACAGTGTCTTCACTCTGAAAGAGGGGTGGGCATTGTTGCAATTTGGAGGGTTATTTGAACTGTAATGTCAACACTCTTCTGGCAAGAAAGTGATTGAGTAAGTGATAGTTTTTTTTTTTTTGTTTGGTCACCCTACCTTGGAAGATGGCTAGAGTGTTGAAAAAATAAGCAGTATCCCCATTTTCCTTACGTTCTAACTGATGGTGCAGAGGATATGAAAACAGTGTGTGTGTTGACTTCTGATGCAGGATACAGTTGATATAGTCACTCCTATGGAGACCTGTAAGATGATACAGTATACAGCTTCTCCTCACATAACGACGGAGTTCCATTCCTGAGACTACGTCATTAAACGAATTCGTCGCTAAGTGAGGAGCATACTATAATGGTAGTGAGTTTGTGTCAGCCAACTTTGTTTTAATGTTACCTTTGCCCCATTTATAACATTTCTGGTATATTTTTAAATATTTATACAGTAGTGTACTGTATATTGAAATAAACAGAATACAGGAAATCAGCTCTTAATATACGTTATTTAGGTATGAATACTGGTCATAGAGCCCGTCGTAAGTCCGAGGCGTCGGTGAACGAGTGCGCCGTTAAGTGAGGAGAGGCTGTATTAACATTGGTCGCACAAGCTGAAGCAGTCATCAGGAGGAAAGGGGAGCAGTCAGCAGCCTGGAATTTGGTGGTTTTACAAGCTAGGGGTGGTCGTTACATGGGGGAGAGTCCTTAGTTTTCATTGGTTGTTATTCGAGCTCTCATTATGCAGATAGTCATAAGGTGGGGTCTACTGTAATAATGTGGGATTATTAAGGATTGGGTTTAGTAACTGAAGTACAATATACAGTAGTTTATTAAAAAATCCTTTTAATCATTGTGCATTATTTTTTAAAGCACTTAATTTTCTCCACAGGAAGGATCTTGCCAGCTAAGGGCTCTATTCCTCACAAGAAGATAAAGGGGTACTCTTCAGATCTAGACATGAAGAGGTACTCCACAGATGCAGACGTGAAAAGGGTAACCAAAGAGAAACCAGTGTTAAAGAAAAAGGAAGGTAAATTTTATTGTGATGTAAAGAAAGAAATAGTATATCATGTGAAGGAAGAAAGACAGTACCAGGTCAAGAAAGAGAGTGAGGGGAAATACAAGAGAGATTTGGAACGCCAGTTAGCTAGTTACAGATCAAACATCAAGAGAATGCAGAAGATCTTGGATGAAGAAAGAGCTAAAATGACAAAGGTACAAAATGCGCTTATAAATCTGAGGAGAAGACTGCGAAGACGTGAGCTGAAGATGATGAAAACGAACACTACCAAAATTGAAATTAAGGAAGAGAGAGAGGATATAGAAGAGGAAGATTTAAAGAAAAAGGAGATGGAAATGGAAGTAAAAGGACAGATCATATTAGATGAAACATTGATTAAAAAAAGGAAGGAGTTGGACAAAATTCCAAAAATAAGGATAAAAAAGCTAAAGTTACCAAAAAGTTTTGAGATAAAAAATGAGATTATACTTAAAGAGCAGGAAATTGAAATAAAGAAACCAATTAAAAAAGGTGTAATGCAGGAGAAAAAAAGAGAAAAAATTGAGCAGCCCAAGGAATTAAAGCAAAAAAAGAAGTTAGATGAGCTTAAGAAAAAGGAGGATTTAAAAGGAGTCAAAAAAGATGACGAGCAAAAGAAAATGGAAGTGGAACAGACAAAGGTAGAAACTGAAGAAAAGAATGTGAAACCAGAAATTCAAATAGCAACCTCGCACATGTTGTGGAATGTTTTGAGTCGCATCAAATCGGAATCATACTCAACAAATCCAATAGACAATAGTAAGGATGTACTGCAAGAAACAGATGTGAAGTTAACCTTACATCCACATAACAAACCAAATCCCTCTGATGTTCCACTCTTGGTAAAGGAATTCATGTTGCGGGATGATGTGTCAAAAGCTTGTTCTCCTTCTGATCTAGATGAAGCAATACCAGAAGCAAGATATCGAATGTATTATCTCTTAATCCTCCATAAGCAGTTTGTGGCAGAGTATGGATTATTATGTAACTATAAAACATTTGCTAATTATGTTCCCAAAAATGTGCTAAAACCTAGTCCTCGCTTCTGGAAGACTTGTACCTGCTTTCCCTGCCTCAATCCTGAACTGAAATTTGAAAATTTAAACTCCCAAGGTTTACTAAATATGAGTGGTATGGAATTAGCAGATATCCTTCAGGATTCTGAAATGGAGAGTGCTCTTATGACTCAGTTGCGTAAATTGAGAGAATCTCGAGATATACTTCCATATGATGCATGGGAAAAGACCTGTAGTGGCACCATACACTCAAAACGGAGAATTGTAAGTGAACCAGTAGGCATTGTGGTGGCAAAGTTTTTCGAGGAACTTAGCCTTTTGAAAGCTCATATTCAGAAAACATTTTGTCAGTTAGATGCTGCCAAATTGGCACGGGAAAGAGCCATGCACTCGACTGACGAAGTTACCTTACACCTGGACTGCTCCCCAATACCTATATATCGCCATCCTGAGTCTGAATGTGCTTCATCTGACATTGCTACTATCCTTACTGTTCTAACAGGTTACCTCTGGACTGAGGGTGGTTTTCAGACTGTGATAGCAATGTCTGATAGCAAGGATTACACAACAGCTGCTGTTTGGGCTGGTCTGGAGAAAATTTTGCTAAAAGTTATCCAAGCTGGTAAGAGTAAAATTAATATAATATCAGATTGTCCAACAAACAGATACAGAAATAAGAGCAACTTTTACTTTATGAGTGACTTTGCTCAGACATTCGGTGTTTGCTTCCGATGGGTGTTTCTTGAGTTGGGTCATGGGATAGGCCATGCTGGCATTGTGAGAGCTGATTTTGATCGTGTTATACGTGATCAGATATCTAACAGTTCCATTAAGCCAGTTAGGAATAGCTGTGACGTCCTTAGTTTAGTACACTCTCATACATCATCAGCTGTCCATACATATACAGATCAAGATGTCAAAAAGTATAAGTTTTTGTTGCCGAAGTTACGTGTGGTACAAGGAACTCAAAAGTTTCATGAGGTTATTATTCTCCCAGAAGATTTCTGGGTGAGAGACGTGGTGAGTCATGATGCTTTTAGAAAATTGTCTATTTAAGGTCTGTTTTCTTCAAGTACAGGTACCATCCGACTTACGACCGAGTTCGGTTCCGACCAACCGGTCATAAGTCGAAATGGACATAAGTCGAACCTTACTGCTGAATATCAACATCACATTTTTGTAATGACTTTATTTTATTGTTTTATTTTGGTATTTCATTTTTTACTTTACTTTTTATGCTGTTAGTACTGTATTTTATACTGTAAGGTTTAGGATAAACACTGTATACAACACAAACAGTTGTTTATTTCCCAGAAATTTGGCATACAAAACACGGTCGCAAGTTGAATGGTCGTATGTCGAGCAGGTCGTAAGTCGGATGGTAGGTGTATATGTTACTAAACTGTATATTTGTAATTTCCATTTGACAGTGTCATAGAGTGCATTCTTAGTTGTCTATTTTAAGTATTATTTATATCTTTATGCTGCTGTCTTAGCAAGTATTAAAAGCATAAAGAAATAGGTAAATTTTAATGTTGCAAATTATTACCATCATTGGTTGTACATAAATGGAAGTATAGTACAAGCAATTTGAATGTCAAGATTAAACATTTTACATGGACATTTTGTCACTGATGCTTCAATGGCATTATAAACAGTGTATATATATATAAATATATATAAATATATTTTTAACATATTTAACCTTTTTTTAAAAGCTTGTGCACGTTGGTGTGAACTGAATGATGTGCACACCACTCGGTCAGTTGGTTAAGCACCATCGGGTCTGACGAGTGGTGACCATGTAGACACCACCTTGCCCTTCACTGGTGGACTTCAACAAGGCAGTTAGGGGGCTTCCTGTCACAGGCAGGATGCACCCACATCCTTAATCACAAATATCACAATACAAATTATAAAATCTTAAGATGAAATTTCTTCTGAGTGAGACAGGAGTTCTTTCTTGAACTGAATTAGCCTGTTTTAATGAGTAATATCGTTCTGTTTTTTAATGGTATACAAAACTTGATTAAAAAATTTACAGGTGAATGATAGGATGTTGTGTTCATTGTCGCATATTCAAGTTCAACTGTATGAGGTAACAGTTTTTTGAAACAGAAAGTAAAAACTTTCATTTTTCCTTTTATTGATTTTAAGAGTATAACCTTCCTACATTAATTTAACAGTGTAATCCTAGTTAATATTTTACCCTGTGTTTATACTTGACTTAGTTTTATGTCTGTTCTTATATTGTTTTTTTATAACAGTTTCATCATTTAATCTTCAGATATACTCCGGTTATACATTTGAAGAACACCATTTTCACCTTTAATAATTTATGATTGAGCTGGCAAGTGGTAACAGCTTCACTTTCAATGCAAACTGATTCTCCAAATATAGGAAAACCTTCATAATAATGGGTTCATGGGACTACTGCATAGCAGCATTTTCAGGCTGAATATGTGGTAATGGTAAATAATAGATTTAGTTCCATCGTGAAATAATATTGATGATGCTTGAGTCCTCTTGTTACCTGTTAGCTACAGTATCTGTGTCTTGGATGCCTTGCTACCCACAAACACTCCGAAGTGCGGGCCTTGAAAGAAAAGTCGATTATCCCTAGCTAAACAGTTTTACATTACTATATTTCCTCTCCTCCTCCTTACAACATTAAAAGATGTATCCCTTCTTCCAGAGTTAAATGGCATACTTCCAAAAATAACAAAAGAAAGACATATTGGTGAACAAGCTCTTATTGGGACATACTGATTTGTGCAGATCTTTATGAAGTTGTAAGTTATTTCAATATAAGTTTGTTCTTCAAAGTGTCTTCACTGTTATCTTCTACTTATCCATTCCATGATGTTAGTTTTTTCCTGTTACTCTTGTTACTTAAACCTGCTAGCTTACCATTTCTCATTTTTTTTTTAATATCCAAGCTCTTGTATAGTGTATCTACTTAACCCTTAAACTGTCCAAACGTAGATCTACGTTTACGCGCGTAACGCTCCGACCTTGATTTTCTCCATTTGAAAGCATGTAAAAAAAACTAGTTCTACGTTTAGAGCGCTACGCAAGTGAACGTAGATCTACGTTTGGACAGTTTAAGGGTTAATAAGTTGCCCTGCACCTCGCAGCTCTACCCTTGCTCATCTTCCACTTTCTTATTATTCATTATTTCCATTTTTGTTTATCATTAAAGCATTGGTTATTTCAAGATACTAAATTTCTGATATTTCATTTAATGGTGAATGGTTGGTGAGTACACTTAAAAATTCTTACTTGACACATGCTAAATATTTAAACTAACCTTTTCTAGTATTTCATTAACCTGTTCCAATACTGTATTGATCTTTTCTAATACATGTACTTGATCTGTTCCTTCACTAAGCAGCCGTTCACAATGCACTAACAAAGGCTGGATAGTGAGTTTACCAAAGTGTATCCAGTACTTGTACCACCCTAGTAAGCGAGACTGATTTCCAAACATGTTCATTTGTCCTGGAATCAATGGCTAATCAGACTGGGAGAAATTACTAAGACATACAATCTGTTGTTAATCAGGGAAGATTGGGGCCAGGTTGTCATTATCTTGATTTTTTTGTCTAATGTATTTTTGGTTAGTCTAATTAGTGTGGGATAAAATGTTATGTATAGAATGACTTTTTTCTTTTAATTTTAATTTATTTTTTTTCCTGCCGTGGGCTTCACAACACACTGCCTTGTGGTGTTTCATATTCTTTTATAACTATACCTAGTATTCTGTAGTGTTTACTGTACCATCTTCTGTCTTCTAGAAAGGGCATTTCTAAATCTATTAATCATTCTTCGTTGGTCATACTTTAAATTTCATAAATTATTTTATTGCATTTTCAACTTTTAACATTTCCCTGTTCGTATACGTATTTGAAAGCTGTCGTATTTATATTTTTTAACAGCTATCTCACACCAAACTAGAGTGACCCTGAGATGGAAATGCATCCACTATGACTCAGTTCCTTGCTGTCATTTCTGAAGTACAAGGACATCACAGTTCAAATGATCAATTGAGCCACAGCATTCTTCTCTTATACTTCACAGTGCAGACAAAGTATATAAGTGGGCTCCACACAGAAGCAAATGCTTTATTTGGAGCATTCACAGAAACACATATAAGGGATGTTATGGACAACGAAGTAATGGATGCAAAATTGCAATGTGTGTAAATGCAATGTATGTAAATTCCGTATGTAAATGCTAGAGAATAAGTAAGTCACAGGAATGAGTAGGACTATATAAGACTTTTGCTGGTATGGTACAGGGGTTTTGCACTGGCATGTCAATTTTAGGATTGTCTTGTTATGCTTGAAACCCCATCTGTTCTGTGAGATGTTTATAATAGTTTTATTACACTTTCAAAGGTTATTTGTAATGGCATTAAAAGAATTTAGGCTAGAGTTTGCCACATCCATGTTGGTGTGAGGTTGAAATGTAAGAAAACTGTATTTCAGTAACAGTGAGGCCCATGCTAAATTTCCTAGTGTACAGACAAAAATCAAGTACTGCAAACTTTAGTAGGCCGACATAAAATGGCTAGCGCATTAGTCTGACAGTTTTAGAACTAGCGAGCCATGGGATTGAACCCTATCTGTTCTGCGAGTCATTTATGACCATTATCTGATCTTTTCAACATATCACTACAAACTGGAAAATAGCAAATGTGATACTCATCTGCAAAACTGGGAACAGGTCTTTATCTTTGAATTATAGACAAATTAGCCTAATCTCCATTGTTGGAACACTGATGGAATCAATAATTGCTGAGGCTATTCGAAACCACCTTGAAAGACTTAAATTGATCAATAAATCTCAGCACAGTATTACGAAGTGGGTGTACCTGCCTTACATATTTACTAACTTATTTTACTAAGGTATTTGATGAGGTGGATTATGGTAATGAATATGATACTGTGTATATGGACTTTAGTAAGGCTTTTGATAAGGTTCTATATTGGAGATTTTTGAAAGTAAAGGCACACAGAATAGGAGGTGAAATTTTTTCCTGGATAAGAGGCATGGTTGATAGATAGGCAACAGTGTGTTTGCATAAATGGGGAGAAATCAGAGTGGGGATGCATCATAAACAGTGTTCCACAGGGGTCAGTGTTGAGCCTTTGTTGTTCACAGTATACATAAACAACATAGATGAGGGAATAAATAGCGACATAAGCAAGTTTGCCGATGACACCAGTGTAGGCCGTCAGATTTAGACGAGGACACTAGAGCGCTACAGGAAGATCTAAATAGTAGATTGATGCAGTGATTGGAGAAGTGGCTGATGCAGTTTAATATAGATAAATGCAAATTTCTAAGTGTTGGCAAAGGAAACAATCATGACACTTATAAACTAAAGGATGTAGATCTTACTCACTCTAAATGTAAGAAAAGGTTTAGGAGTTCTGGTTAGCAGGAATCGAAAGCCAAGACAACAGTGTTTGGAATAAAGCGAATAGAATTCTTGGCTTCATATTAAGAAGTATAAATAACAGGAGTCCTCAGGTTATTCTTTGATTCTGTACTATATTACTGGTTGTGCCTCATTTAGATTATGCTGCACAGTTCTAGTCACTGTATTACAGAATGGGCATAAATGTGCTGGAAAACATACAAAGAAGGATGACAAAGTTGATCCCATGTATCTGAAATCTTTTCTACGAGGATAGATTGAAGGCAGTGAATCTGCACTCTCTAGAAAGCATAGAATTAGGGGAGATATGATTGAAGTGTATAAATGGAAAACAGGAATAAATAAAGGGATGTAAATAACATGTTAAAAATATCAACCCAAGACAGGACTCACAGCAATATATTCAAGTTTGAAAGGATATAGGAAAGTATTGGTTTAGTAATAGAGTTACGGATGAGTGGAACAAACTCCCAAGTAAAGTCATTGAAGCTAAAACCTTGAATAGCTTTAAAAATAGGTTAGACATGTACATGAGTGGATGTGGGTGGGTGTGAGATGAATCTGCCTAGCATGGGCCAGTAGGCCTACAGCAGGGCTTCTTCTTAAGTGGGTATGACTTTGACTGCCTAGCATCATGGGCCAGTAGGCTTGCTGCAGTGCTCCTTCTTATGTTCTTATTATGGTCATCTCCCACCAAGATAGGGTGACCCTAAAAAGAAGAAACACTTTCACCATCATTCACTCCATCACTGTCTTGCTAGAGATGTGCCAGTACTTTAGTTCAGATGGCCTTCCAAATTGCAAATATTCCCACCTTTTCTTCAGAGTGCAGGCACTACTACTTACCTCTAGGACTCAAGTTTGGCTAACTGGTTACCCTGAATCTCTTCACAAATGTTAACTTGCTCACACTCCAACAGCTCAAGTCCCAAAAGCCATTTGCCTCCACTCCTATCTTAACATGCCTTCTGGATATCAAAGCTCCTTGCACACGAAACCTTTACCCCTTCCCCCCAACCTTTCTTATTGCAACTCCTACACTGCCTTCCCTCCACTACAGATTTATCACCTTCCAAGTCATCCTATTTTGCTTCATCCTCTCTAAGTAATTTTTTTTATCACGTCGGCTGTTTCCCACCGAAGCAGGGTGACCCAAAAAGACAGAAAAACCCCCAAAAAAGAAAGAAAAAACTTTCATCATTCAACACTTTCACCATCACTCATGCATAATCACTGTCTTTGCAGAAGAGCTCAGATACGACAGCTTAGACATCCCTCCAAACTGCCAATATCCCAAACCCCTCCTTTAAAGTGCAGGCATTGTACTTCCCATTTCCAGGACTCAAGTCTGGCTAACCAGTTTCCCTGAATTTCTTCACAAAATATTACCCTGCTCACACTCCAACAGTTCATCAGGTCTCAAAAACCATTCATCTCCATTCACTCCTATTTAACATGCTCATGCATGCTTGCTGGAAGTCCAAGCCTCTCACTCACAAAACCTCCTTTACCCCCTCCCTCCAACATTTTCAGGGATGACCCCTACCCTGCCTTCCTTCTCCTACAGATTTATATGCTCTCCAAGTAATTCTACTTTGTTCCATTCTCTCTAAATGACCAAACCACCTCAACAGCCCCTCTTCAGCCCTCTGACTAATACTTTTAGTAACCACACCTCTTAATTTCCACACTACGAATTCTCTGCATAATATTTACACCACACATTGCCCTTAGACACGACATCTTCACTTCCTCCATCCGCTTCCTCACTGCAGCATTTACAACCCATGCATCACACCCATATAAGAGTGTTGGTACCACTGTACTCTCATTCATTCCCTTCTTTACCTCCTTGAATAACGTTCTTTGTCTCCACAGATACCTCAACGCACCACTCGCTGTTTTTCCTTCATCAATTTTATGGTTAACCTCATCCTTCATAAAGCCATCCACTGACAAGTCAACTCCTAAATATCTGAAAACATTTACTTTTTCCACACTTCCTCCCTCCATTGTGATATCCAATTTTTAATTATCTAAATCGTTTGATACCTTTATCACTTTACTCTTATCTATGTTTGCTTTCGACTTTCTACCTTTACACACCATAAATAAACAAATATATACGTATATATCAATAACAGCACTGCACTAGCCAAGGAGTCGAACCCATGCTGTTTTGGCCTGCCTCATGGTGAGAGAAAATGCATGATGCTTTAGACCACTAGACCACACAATCTAGTGGTCTAAAGTGTCATGTGTTTTCTCTCGCCATGAGGCGGGCCAAAACAGCATGGGTTCGACTGCTTGGCTAGTGCAGTGTTGTTATTGATCAATACCACTTGTTCCATGGGTACAATAATATACATATACAGTGGACCCCCGGTTAACGATATTTTTTCACTCCAGAAGTATGTTCAGGTGCCAGTACTGACCGAATTTGTTCCCATAAGGAATATTGTGAAGTAGATTAGTCCATTTCACACCCCCAAACATACACGTACAAACGCACTTAAATAAATAAACTTACATAATTGGTCGCATTCGGAGGTGATCGTTATGTGGGGGTCCACTGTACAGTGGACCCCCGGTTATTGGCCCTAATCCTTTCCAGAAGGTCGGCCAATAACCGAAATGGCCGATAACCGAATTAATATTTCTCAAGAATTAATGGAAATACAATTAATCCATTCCAAACAAATATATTCACAAAAAAATAAGTTTTTTAACAATTATGTAAGAATTACATACCTTTATTGAAGGCTAATGCTGGCTTCTGGAAGATAGGGAGGAGGAAAGAGAGAGGAGTTAGTGTTTGGAAGGGGAATCCCTCTCCATGAAGACTTTAAGTAGCAATGCCTTCTCTGGGGTTACTTCCCTTCTCTGTCTATTATTGCCACTAGGACCAGCTTGAGAGTCACTGGACCCCTGTCTCATAAAATAATTGTCTAGAGTGCTCTGTTTCTGGCATCTCTTTAAGATATTCCTGAAGTGAGACAGGGTTTTGTCACTAAACATGTTGCAGATATGACTTGTTTCAGCTTTGTCAGGGTGGTGTTTCTCTACAAAAGCTTGCACCCTAGTCCACATTGCACACACCTCTTTAATCTCTGAAAAAGGCACTTCCTTCACTCCCTCTTCCTCCTCCTCCGCAGCAAATTCCTCAGCTGCAGTCTGTTGCTGTTCAAGATGAAGCTCTTGCAGTTCTTCAGTGGTTAGCTCTTCCCTGTGGTCCTCCACTAACTCTTTCACATCCTTGCCACTCGCCTCCAACCCCAGGGACTTCCCCAGTGCCACAATAGAGCCCACAGGGTCAGGGTCAGCCTCAACCCCTTCAAAATCCCTCTCTGGGACACAATCTGGCCACAGTTTTCTCCAAGCAGAGTTCAAAGTCCTGGAAGTCACTCCCTCCCAAGCCTTACCTATAAGACTTATGCAATGGAGGATAGTGAAGTGATTCCTCCAGAACTGTCATAGGGTCAACTGAGTGTCCGAGGTCACTTCAAAGCACTTTTGAAACACTGCTTTTGTGTAGAGCTTTTTGAAGTTAGAAATGACCTGCTGGTCCATGTGCTGGAGGAGAGGAGTGGTGTTCGGAGGCAAGAACTTCACTGTGATGAAACTGAAGTTCCTAAACACTTGGTCTTGCAAGTCTGGAGGATGTGCAGAAGCATTGTCCAGTACCAGGAGGCACTTAAGTGGCAATTTCTTTTCCAGGAGGTATTTTTTCACACTTGGGCCAAACACATTATTAACCCACTCTTTGAAAATTTGCCTTGTGACCCATGCCTTATGATTAGCTTTCCACATCACACACAATCTATTCTTCATGACATTGTTTTTCTTGAACACACTGGGATTTTCTGAGTGATATATAAGTAAAGGCTTCACTTTAAAATCCCCACTAGCATTACCACACAATAAAAGAGTAAGCCTGTCTTTCATAGGCTTGTGTTCTGGCAGTGCCTTTTCCTCCTGGGTAATGTAGGTCCTGTTTGGCATTTTCTTCCAAAACAGGCCTGTTTCATCGCAATTGAACATGTGTTGGGGTTTGAATCCTTCAGCCTTTACATAGTCCTGGAATTCGTGAACATACTTTTCAGCCGCACATTTATCAGAACTTACAGCTTCACCATGCCTTACAACGCTGTGTATGCCACTACGCTTCTTAAATCTATCAAACCATCCTTTGCTGCCCCTAAATTCACAAACTGCATCACTTGTTCCAGGCATTTTCTTTGCAAGATCTTCATGCAACTGCCCTGCCTTCTAACACATGATCAACTCCACAACACTGTCTCCCACTAATTCTTTTTCCTTAATCCACAATAATAATAACTTTTCCAACTCTTCCATTACTGGTGGCCTTTGTTTGGTTAGAAAAGTTACTCCTTTTGCAACATCAGCATCTTTGATTTGTTCTTTCTTTGCCAGGATGGATGTAATTGTTGATTTATTCTTGCTGTACATCCTGGCAAGTTCCATCACCTTTATACCACTCTCAAACTTTTCTGTCACTTCACGCTTAAATTCCATGGTGTTTCTCACTTTTTTCACCACAGGAACTTTACTAGGAACTTTCTTTGGAGCCATCTTTACTTATTTCACAGTTGCACTGCAAGAAAAGCCACTAAAAACAATGGTAAACAAGCAAAATGTTTGGATGTATGAGCAGAAGCTTTCTCAGCCACCGAGAGACAAAGCCAAACTGAAGCGCAAGCTGCCCCAGTTGGCGGATGGACGCGTTGAAAATGGCCGATAACCGTGCGAACAACCGATAACCGAGTTGGCCGATAACCAAACTGGCCGACAACCGGGGTCCACTGTACAGTGGACCCCCCGGTTAACGATATTTTTTCACTCCAGAAGTATGTTCAGGTGCCAGTACTGACCGAATTGGTTCCCATAAGAAATATTGTGAAGTAGATTAGTCCATTTCAGACCCCCAACCTTACACGTACAAACGCACTTACATAAATACACTTACATAATTGGTCACATTCAGAGGTAATCGTTATGCGGGGGTCCACTGTATATGTTTTTTGTTTTTTTTCAACATGTCGGTCGTCTCTCACCGAGGCAGGGTGACCCAAAAAGAAAGAAAATCCCCAAAAAGAAAATACTTTCATCATCATTCAACACTGTCACCTCACAAACACACATAATCACTGTCTTTGCAGAGGCACTCAGATATACAGTGGACCCCCGAGTTTTGTGATTAATCCATTCCAGAGAGCCTGCCGAAAGTTGAAATTCACGAAACTCGAAACCATTTTCTCCATAAGAAATAATGAAAATAAAATCAATCCGTTCCAGACACCCAAAAATATTAAAGTAAAATACTTTTTTTCAAATTAACCCCTTCAGGGTCCAAGGCCAAAATCTGAAGTGGTGCTCCAGTGTCCAAGAAATTTTGAAAAAAAAAAAAAAAAATATTTTTTCTTACAGAATTAAAGAGCATATTTTTGTGAAGGTAATAAGACAAAAAAAAAAATTCTGATCAGTACTTACCGAGATACAGTGCCAAGAAGTTTGTCGAAAATGATGTGGTGGCGGCAACATCGACGAATTCCACATACGCGCATTACATTATTTTGCGGTTTTTGTTGTTTTTTCTTTTCTTTTCCAATTTTTTTCTATTCCTACTAACATTTGGGGCCTGAGAGACCAATACTGTATATAATGTATATATATAAACTCACTGTATTGAACACAACTGCACTAAAGTTATTATCATATTATTGTTTACCACTGTTGTTTATTACAATAAACATGCACAAATCTTGTATAATACTAATGTTCTATCATATATTTACATATTTACAATCACTGGACATGGTTTTAGAACTGCTGGAGCTTGTGGAACTCCTTGAAACAAGGCACCATGCACAGAGGCACCTTACATTCCTATATACTGAACCCACGGAGTGATGGTCACATGTTGGTAAACAATGGCACACTGAGCATGAATGGCGTAGGAGACTTGCTTTGTGTGCGCGATGACGGGCGGACGGGTACCGGACGGTCGCCGAATCACGTTATTTTTTTTTTATTATCACACTGGCCGATTCCCACCAAGGCAGGGTGGCCCGAAAAAGAAAAACTTTCACCATCATTCACTCCATCACTGTCTTGCCAGAAGTCTAATCACGAAACTCGAGGCCAAATTTTGCCGAAAAAACTTGCCGAAAGTCGAATTTCATAAAAGTTGATGCTGCCGAAACTTGGGGGTCCACAGTATATAAAAATGTACATGTATATGCAAAAGAGGATGTGCACACACGCTCCATAAGGAAGTGGAGAAGAATCCTTCCTCCATAAGCCATGCGTCTTGTAAGAAGCAACTAAAGTGCTGGGAGCAAGGGGCTAGTAACCCCTTCTGTGTAAATTACTAAATGTAAAAAGAAAAACTTCATGAAAGAGCTTTTTTTTTTTTTTTTTTTGTCATCCTGCCTCGGTGGGAGACGGCCAGTGTGTTAAAACAAATTATATTTGTGTGTATTTATTTATTTATCTGCTATGCTTGAAGAAATTATTAGTGTGATCTGTTTTTTCATTTATCATTTTCAAAAAATTCATTGATTGTAGTATATCTTGTTTATTCCTGTCATTATCCATTCAATTTTGTAAAGGTATATGTACTTCTTATTGTCTGTTCTGGATGTATTTTTTGTCGTAATTTAAAGTAATGTTGGTCTGTTTCCACATTGCTGATTCCTGTGAATCAAGTCTTTCTATTTCTTTATATTTTATAAATTTGTATTTCTACAAAGGGGCAGGTATCTCGATACTGGTAAAGTGCTCTTGCAACAAGGCGTTGAAGCTACTCTTGGATCAAACCTGATTGCTTCCCATTCCCCAGACAGCGTGTGGTCTCTACGGGTTAGTGCTTCTCCATCAATACATATACAGTATATACGTACATAATTCGAGTTTCCGCTCGTTTTGTGTAACATTTTATCCTTTTTTTTTATGACTATGAGCTAAGCGTCTTACACAAAGTGCTTTGTAAATGTCACAACTACTACTACTACTACTACTACTACTACTACTACTACTACTACTACTACTACTACTACTACGACTATCACTGCATGAATTTGTTAATATGTGACGTCCTGTGTCTATCGATAATTCCTCATATGCATTTTGCATTCTCCATATATGATCATTGTGGCTTATAAAGTGTGTTGAATAGTCTTATGTGAAATTTAGTGTTGATGGCCTGATTGAGCCTGGTTCATCTACCATGGGCCTAGAACATAGTTATAGCATAAAATGAAGGATAATTGTACAGCTGTCTCTCACTTTGTGCAGTACATGCATTCCAGTACCACAACAGCTGTACTAAAGTCAGTCTGGCCATAAACCCTTAATTCTGCATAATAAAACTCTTCAGTATGTTTGTGTATTGTACTGATCATATGTTGAATATCTGTTGCATGTATGGAATTGCAAATAGAAATAGAACATCGTGTAATAATGAATTCACATAGAGCGAAGAAACCTGCTTATGTATTATACATTTGTTGTTATGTCTTCTCTCTTTTTCTTATTTTCCAAGAATGCCATTTTTTGCTTTACTTTGATTTTTGTATAGTCTCAAGTGCATCTGACATACACAATGCCTATTTTATTATTATTTTTTTTTAGCATTTCCCTATCTATATACTGTACTATACTATATACTATGCTATATTAAAATTTGCCAACAGTGTTTGTCTTTCCCCATTGTACCATATTTATTTATTTAGTTTGGTGATAATTTATTATTTACAATTACTTTAAGATCTTGGATCTAATTGAATGGTTCCTGCCAACAATAATGAAGAAAGGTACTTTTGTACTTATTGGAACAGCATTTTAATCTATTTTGTTGAAGATAACACAAATGTTGTCCCAGTGAAAGCTTGTTTGGCAAGTGTGTGTGTGTTTTCCTCATCCCAAGACCCTATTCTTTATCTGGTGTTCCTTTGGATTTCACCACATTTTATAAATTACATGAGGTTTACTTCCTAATTTTGCTAATTTCTGTTTAATACTCTACACAGCATTTTTCAAAGCTTATACTTTTCAACTTTGGCCATTTCTCACCAAGGTAAGGTGGCTCCTAATAATGAAGAATTACATTTGGTATCACAAGTGCTTCAGCTGTCTTTTCCGAAGTGCAAAAAGATCACAATTTGACTCTCCAGTGTAACATAGGTTAATTTTTTTTTAAATTATGTACATGTTTTAAGTATCAGTTTATTTATTCTAGTCAGATTGAGAACTTTCTTTTTTTAAATAATAAGTATTGTATTGGAAAGCAGTTTATATGATACATGATGAAGGTTTAGGTATGGCAATATATTATGTGCCATTGTATGTCCATGTCACTTTCTAAGATTTGGAAAGTATCAAGTCTATAAAATAAACATTTCACTCTGCTGTTAAAGAATTGATTATTATAATTTCTTCTATATTTTTATGACTGACTTATGTGGTTACAGTATTAAATGTAGAATTATGCTCCTAATATCTTCTAAAATATCTGGAAAAAAAATTTCATTGATGCCATTAAAAGTCTCTGAAAATATTTGCTTATAATTCCTAAGGTGGATGCATTATCTAATAATGATACTGTGTCAAATTATTTAGAAACTTTAGTTTCTAAATAATTTGACACAGTAAATAATTTGACAATGGAATTTGCTAATGTACCTGTTATGTTCCAAGTTACATAGGTATTATGTAAGTTTGCCATATGGAAGTCGAAATGAACACATCCTTCTTGATATATCATTTTATCTTTCAATAAGCAGTTGTAATATATGAAATAACATTTCTTAGAATGGTAATATATGTAAAATTTATTGGGTGGAAGAGTGGTTACTGTAGTTGCATCCACAAGGACATGATAGTACAGTGGTACCTCGAGTTTCGGCCATAATTTGTTCCAGAAGGCTGTTCGCATGCCGTTACCGAATGAGTTTGTTTCCATAAGGAATAATGTAAATTAGATTAGTTCGTTTCAGACCCCCAAAAATACACTTACAGAGGCACTTACAAAAATACACTTACAAAAGCACTTACAAAAATACACTTGCATAATTGCTCGAGTTGGGAGGTGTTCGAAACTCGAGATACCACTGTATATTTATTAACTGATATACTGGTTTTGGGGAGAGGGAACACTCCACAACAATTAACCAACACCCAGATGGTTGTTTTCTGCTAGGTGAATAGAAGCACTGAGTGTAGGAGGTGCCCATACATTGCCTGCCCCAAAAGTTAAAAAGCAAGGCTTTTCATTTGAGTCAGTTGCTTTGAGTACTGAGTTTTTTTTTTTTTTAACATGTTGGTTGTCTCCCACTGAGGCAGAGTGACCCAAAAAGAAAGAAAATTCCCAAAAAGAAAATAGTTTTCATCATCATTCAACACTTTCACCTCACTCATGCATAATTACTGTCTTTGCAGAGGTGCTCAGATACGACAGTTCAGAAGTCCCTCCAAACTGCCAATATCCTAAACTCCTCCTTTAAAGTGCAGGCAATGTACTTCCCATTTCCAGTACTCAAACCCGGCTAACCGGTTTCCCTGAATCCCTTCACAAAATATTACCCTGCTCACACTCCAACAGCTCATCAGGTTCCAAAAACCATTCATCTCCATTCACTCCTATCTAACACGCTCACACATGCTTGCTGTAAGTCCAAGCCCCTCACCCACATAACCTTTACTCCCTCACTCCAACCTTTTCGAGGACGACCTCTACCCTGCCTTCCTTCCCCTACAGATTTATATGCTCTCCAAGTCATTCTACTTTGATCCATTCTCTCTAAATGACCAAACCACCTCAACAACCCCTCTTCAGCCCTCTAATACTTTTAGTAACTCCACACCTCCTCCTAATTTCCACACTGCGAATTCTGTGCATAATATTTACACCACACGTTACCCTTAGACAGGACGTCTTCACTGCCTCCATCTACCTCCTCGCTGCAGCATTTGCAGCCCAAGCTTCACACACATATAAGAGTGTTGGAACCACTACATTTTCATACATTCCCTTCTTTGCCTCCATAGATAACGTTTTTTGTTTCCACAGATACCTTGACGTACCACTCACCCGATTTATACGCCACAAATATAGAAGTATCCTAATTCTCAGCTCTGCTTTTTTTTTTTTTCAGCAAACTGCCTGTATCCCCCCCAAGGCAGGGTGACCCAAAAAAAAAAAATAATGAAAGTTTTATCTTTTTAAGTTTATTAATACAAATCTTAATATTTATGTTATACTTGGGAGCATAACTGCAAGTATAACTGCACTAATGCCTAAGCAACAAGGATTTCATGTGTTATACAGTAGTATATGGTACTGTAATCTTGGCAAGAAATGATATGTATGTTAAACTCTTACCAATTTTTATTGAAATGTATATTTAGTGACTTTTGACTTCTGACAGAATAAAAATCACCCAAGATTTCAGCAAATCCCTGAATTTTAAACTGACCATGACCCTTGTAGGTTTAGCATTTCTTTTTGATGATGATAATAAGTACAGTGTCTGCACTCTGAAGGAGGGGTGTTAGTATTGCAGTTTTTTAACTGTAGTGTAAGCATGCCTCTTGCAAGACAGTGATGGAGTGAATGATGGAAGTTTTTCTTTTTCGGGCCACTCTGCCTTGGTGGGAAACGGCTAGAAGTGTTAATAAAAATAAATAAATAATAATAATAATTAAACTGACGGTGATTTTGTGAATGATGGTGAAAGTGTTCCTTTTTTTGGGTCACCTTGTTTCGGTGTGAGGCGGCCGGCAAGGTAAAAAAACAAATTAAACTGACCACATAAATGCCTAGACATAAGCTCAGAAATGGGCAGGATAGATGCTGATCCATGGGAGGTACTATATACTACTATATTTTATATATGTTAAGAGAGTGGTGAAGCAATGTAAAAAGAGAGCAAATGAGAGAGTGGGTGAGATGTTATCAACAAATTTTGTTGAAAATAAGAAAAAGTTTTGGAGTGAGATTAACAAGTTAAGAAAGCCTAGAGAACAAATGGATTTGTCAGTTAAAAATAGGAGAGGAGAGTTATTAAATGGAGAGTTAGAGGTATTGGGAAGATGGAGGGAATATTTTGAGGAATTGTTAAATGTTGATGAAGATAGGGAAGCTGTGATTTCGTGTATAGGGCAAGGAGGAATAACATCTTGTAGGAGTGAGGAAGAGCCAGTTGTGAGTGTGGGGGAAGTTCGTGAGGCAGTAGGTAAAATGAAAGGGGGTAAGGCAGCCGGGAATGATGGGATAAAGATAGAAATGTTAAAAGCAGGTGGGGATATAGTTTTGGAGTGGTTGGTGCAATTATTTAATAAATGTATGGAAGAGGGTAAGGTACCTAGGGATTGGCAGAGAGCATGCATAGTTCCTTTGTATAAAGGCAAAGGGGATAAAAGAGAGTGCAAAAATTATAGGGGGATAAGTCTGTTGAGTGTACCTGGTAAAGTGTATGGTAGAGTTATAATTGAAAGAATTAAGAGTAAGACGGAGAATAGGATAGCAGATGAACAAGGAGGCTTTAGGAAAGGTAGGGGGTGTGTGGACCAGGTGTTTACAGTGAAACATATAAGTGAACAGTATTTAGATAAGGCTAAAGAGGTCTTTGTGGCATTTATGGATTTGGAAAAGGCGTATGACAGGGTGGATAGGGGGGCAATGTGGCAGATGTTGCAAGTGTATGGTGTAGGAGGTAGGTTACTGAAAGCAGTGAAGAGTTTTTACGAGGATAGTGAGGCTCAAGTTAGAGTATGTAGGAAAGAGGGAAATTTTTTCCCAGTAAAAGTAGGCCTTAGACAAGGATGTGTGATGTCACCGTGGTTGTTTAATATATTTATAGATGGGGTTGTAAGAGAAGTAAATGCGAGGGTCTTGGCAAGAGGCGTGGAGTTAAAAGATAAAGAATCACACACAAAGTGGGAGTTGTCACAGCTGCTCTTTGCTGATGACACTGTGCTCTTGGGAGATTCTGAAGAGAAGCTGCAGAGATTGGTGGATGAATTTGGTAGGGTGTGCAAAAGAAGAAAATTAAAGGTGAATACAGGAAAGAGTAAGGTTATGAGGATAACAAAAAGATTAGGTGATGAAAGATTGAATATCAGATTGGAGGGAGAGAGTATGGAGGAGGTGAACGTATTCAGATATTTGGGAGTGGACGTGTCAGCGGATGGGTCTATGAAAGATGAGGTGAATCATAGAATTGATGAGGGAAAAAGAGTGAGTGGTGCACTTAGGAGTCTGTGGAGACAAAGAACTTTGTCCTTGGAGGCAAAGAGGGGAATGTATGAGAGTATAGTTTTACCAACGCTCTTATATGGGTGTGAAGCGTGGGTGATGAATGTTGCAGCGAGGAGAAGGCTGGAGGCAGTGGAGATGTCATGTCTGAGGGCAATGTGTGGTGTGAATATAATGCAGAGAATTCGTAGTTTGGAAGTTAGGAGGAGGTGCGGGATTACCAAAACTGTTGTCCAGAGGGCTGAGGAAGGGTTGTTGAGGTGGTTCGGACATGTAGAGAGAATGGAGCGAAACAGAATGACTTCAAGAGTGTATCAGTCTGTAGTGGAAGGAAGGCGGGGTAGGGGTCGGCCTAGGAAGGGTTGGAGGGAGGGGGTAAAGGAGGTTTTGTGTGCGAGGGGCTTGGACTTCCAGCAGGCATGCGTGAACGTGTTTGATAGGAGTGAATGGAGACAAATGGTTTTTAATACTTGACGTGCTGTTGGAGTGTGAGCAAAGTAACATTTATGAAGGGATTCAGGGAAACCGGCAGGCCGGACTTGAGTCCTGGAGATGGGAAGTACAGTGCCTGCACTCTGAAGGAGGGGTGTTAATGTTGCAGTTTAAAAACTGTAGTGTAAAGCACCCTTCTGGCAAGACAGTGATGGAGTGAATGATGGTGAAAGTTTTTCTTTTTCGGGCCACCCTGCCTTGGTGGGAATCGGCCAGTGTGATAAAAAAAAAAAAAAAAAATTAAAGTTGAAAGTCATTAGTACTGACAAGATAAAAGTAGTAGCAGGTGTTTGTTGGGTAGACTTGCCGAGAAATGTAGTCAAAAGAGAAGGTTCAGATTTATTATTCATGTGGTGTCTTTTTACCAGGAATTTTTAAGGTGAAAAGATGTGGAATGACAAACTGTAGATGAGTGGGTAAAAGAATGGTGCTCAACATGGAAATGGTCCCAGTGAGAATCATTAGATTATGTTCATAACTTGATATCAGAGAATACACCATCTTCATATGTAACCTCTCCTTGAGTGCTCTCACATGCTTGTCTTTAACCAGAATCTTAACCTTTAAAGTAGACTATACGACATTTTTAACCAACAGATTTACTAGAGCTAAACTTACTTCCTCCTTTACCCCTTGTACTTAGCCTCAGCACCTCTGCCTCTTTACCTCTGATGCCATCCACCCCTTACCCCATGCAAAACTGAATGACCCCCATAGGTTTAGCAGTTTACATGAATATACAAAACACTATACATGTATGCACCAAGAGGTATATATCTGTATATACTGTACATCAAGTTTTAGTCCCTATGTAAGGAAAAGTACAGTATATTCTTGATTAGTTGTATTCAGGTAAAATGCAGCCATGTTCACCTTAAACAGTTATAAACTTGATTGTCTGAAAGTTTTTACAAAAATTCTCTAACCCATTCTCTGATAAAACCTAGGTAAAAAATGAAAGTAATCAAAAGAAATTTTAAGATTTCTTTAATAAATTGAAATGCTCTAAAATATAAGTTCTCATGTCACTTGCATTGTTGATTATGCATCCAATTTTTTTAAGGGACCTCAGGCCTCTAAGCATGCCGAGATCAGTTAAGAGTTCTGCAGGGAAAAGAAGGGACCTGGGAGGAGACAAATCATGGATACATTTGTCCAAGATTAAGGACCTTTTTCAAAAATAGAAGACAGGCAGAGGGGAAAAGAATACCTTTGGCACAGCTGGTAGTCCCCCCCTCCCCTTTTTCAGTAATGCATGATGCAGAAACATTCTTGATCTGAGAAATTAGAGCTACCTTCTTTGGACTACTGTATTTGAAGCTTTGAGCGGTATTTCAAGATACTGAACAGTCAACTCTTTTATAAAGCTCATCTGTACAGTATAATTTTTTGTATATGCAGTTGAAAAAAGTGCATAAAAAATTGAAAAAAAACACATGCTATGAAGACCTTTCCATGCACTATTTAATTTTGAATGTTTTATTCAATCGCAGTTACAAAAAATTGCACTATATAGAGGTGCTTTATAAAAGAATTGATTAAATTTATTTTTACAATATTACCCATGGAGCAGCTCCTTCTTATCTCCCAAACAAGTCTTGGTTCAAAACTCCTAGTAACTAAAAGTGTTTGTATTTACTGATATGTTTATCAGTTCTGATTAGATTGAAGTTATGACAGGTAATGGTGATATTTGTAATAAATGTATGTACGTACTACATGTTGTAATTTGCTTATTATTTATATTGTTAATTATTGATTATTAGAAAGTTAACATTACCTATTTCAATCTTGGGATCACATGTACAGCCTCTCCTCACTTAGTGACGTACTCGTTTACCAATGACTTGGACTTATGACAGGCTCTCTGACCAGTATGCATAGCTAAATACAGCCTCTCCTCACTTAGCAATGTATTAGTTTACTGACGACTCAGACTTACAATGGGCTCTCTGACCATTATACATACCTATATAATGTATATTAGAGCTGATTTCCTCTATTCTGTTTATTACAATATACTACGTACAGTACACTACTGTATAAACATTTAAAAATATACCAGAAATGTTATAAATTGTTTTAATATTACTTTTGCACTGTATATTGTAATAAAATAGGGGAAATCATCTCTAGTTGACAAACCCACTACCATTATAATATGCTCCTCACTTAGTGATGAATTTGTTTACTGACATGGTCTTAGGAACGGAACTCTGTCATTAAATGAGGAGAGGCTATAATGTATATTAGAGCTGATTTCCTTTATTCTGTTTATTATGTACAATATACAGTACACTACTGTATAAACATTTAAAAATATACTAAAAATGTTATGACTGGTGCAAAGGTGACATTAAAACAATATCATAGAATATAGATGGTTGACACAAACCCACTACCATTATAATATGCTTCTTGCTTAGTGACAAATTCGTTTACCGACGTGGTCTTAGGAATGG